GGGGCTCGACACAGAGCCAAGAAAGGGCTGGGGCGTCTTCAGATGTCAGAGTGAGTGTCTAAAGCCTGATGGTTTGCTGGGGTTTTACTTTCTTTTCTTTTACTTATTTTACTGTTCAATTTCAAACATACATTTTGGTGCTTAAAAATAAATGCAAATACAAAAGCCCCTAACTCCACAGAACTAGGCTCATGTGGTAGCCTCTGTCCTGGGTACGGCGTGGGCACAGGCGTGGCCGGCCAGCTGTTCGTCAGGATCCCTGTGGACTTTCTCCTCCAGCCCCGACGTCACCGGATCCTGGCCGGTGGAGGGGCGAGGCCTGTTCTCTGGGCTTCACGCTTTTTTCTGGGGCTCTCTCCAGGGAAAAGAAAGACTTTCAAGCCTGTGCCACAGATCAATGCCAGACTGAATGTGGGGCGGTCTGGGCTGCTGACAGAGGTAGCCCCCAGACGGAAGCCCTGGGTGGAAGTGGTTCCTGGGGCAGGAAGGATGGGGCAGGAACGGCAGGAGAGAGGAAGACCGCGCTGGATGCCATGCAGGCGTGGGCTGGCCACTGGGCGTCAGGTGGCAGCGCGATGCTCGGGGCCAGTTCCGAAAGCCCGGATTTAGCGTCATCTTCTCCATCCCAACTCCGTATCCTTCTCCTCCTCCTCCTTTTAACTAACTCATATTTTAGAACTAAAATGTATATTTTAGGTTGAACTACAGTAATTTCTGGTGCTAATTTTTAAAGTGAGAGTGGATTGTTTTGTACTTCTCAGACAGAATCTTAGACTGAATCTTCCTCCATCAAGGGAATTCATGGTTATCTTTGTAAGACTGATAGTCCCTTGAAGGTAAAAATGCATACTTTCTTCACTGTTATTTTAAACATATTTTCTGGGTTTTTTCCTGATGGTAACACTTATTTTTTTCTCTTCTTGATTATTCCTTAGAATCTGTTTTTTCAACTAAGACATGCATTGGATTTCTTCTGTTTGAATATTATGTTCTCACCGGCCCTAATCAATGCTCATAATCACTGTCATGATCATCTGTAAATCACACCGTTGTAAGATTTAAACTCAGACATAATCGTGGTAGTTGTGCTATGTTTTGGATTTATAATAGCAGCTGTTAGTCACTGAACTTTTCCTATTTGCCAGGCACTATGCTAAACTTATGTGCATCATCTTACTTAAATGCTTTTATGGCCCTGGCCGGTTTGGCTCAGCGGTTAGAGCGTCGGCCTGCAGTACAGAGAGACCCGGGTTCTGTTCCCGCTAAGGGCACGTACCTTGGTTGCAGTTTATCCCCGGCCCTGGTTGGTTGTGCGGGTGGCAGCCACTTCATGTGTCCCTTTCACGTCGATGTTTCTCTCTCTCTCTCTCTTCCTCTCTTTCCTTCCCATACTATCTGAACAAAAAATGGAAAAATGTCCTCGGGTGAAGATAAAAAAAAAAAATTAAATGCATTATTTATGGTCTTATGATTTTTTAGAGAGAGAGGAAGGGAAAGAGAGACAACATCAATCAGCCACTCCCCACACACTCCCTACTGGGGATCGAGCCTGAAACCTGGGCTGTGCCGAGTGGGAATCCAACCGGGACCTCAGTCCACTGAGCCACAGCAGCCGGGCTGCATCAGTTTATTTAAATGTTATAATGATTCCACAAAGTAGGTAATAGTATCTCCGTTTCGTGGAAGAGATGAAGTGAGTTGTTCAACTAGGAAACAGCCGGGCTGGAATTAGATCCCAAGTGTCTGACTTCAAAGTTCATGTGCCCTAAATCGCTGGGATCCATGTTCCCATGGACAGCAGTTGGTAACTGTTGGTTTTTGTTGGACAGCTTTATAGAGGTATAATTGACATACAATGAAATGCACATATTTAAATATAAAATTGGGTCCATTTTGATATCCACGTGTACCTGGGAAACCATCACCGCAATCAAGATAATAAGCATACTCCCCCTCCCGCCCCCCCAGTTTTCTCAGCCCCCTACCACTGATCTGCTCGCATCGGAGACTCATTTGTTGTTTAGAATTTTACATAAATATTTTTGGATTCTTTCACTCAACATACTTAGTTTGAGATTGATGGATGATGTTGAGCTTATCAATAGTTGATTCTTGTTTGTTGCTGATAATAGTCTACTGTGTGGATAGAGCAATAATGGTCTATCCTGTTGAACAGTCGGGTTTCCGTTCAGGGCGGTTATGAAGAAGGCTGCTGTGAACATCTGTGCACAGATCTTTGGGCATGTGCTTTCGTTGCTCTCGGCAAGTACCCAGGAATGGGTGGCTGGGTCACATGGTAGGGTGCGTTTCACTGTGTAAGAAGCTGACGGACTGTTTTCCAGAGTGGTTGTAATGTCTTACGTCCCCACCAGCAGTGCGTGGAATTCCAGTTGCTTCACAGCCTTGTCAATGCTCGGGGAGGTCCGGGGTTTCATTTTGGCCATTCTTATAGGTGTGGTGGTATTGCATTGTGATTTTAATTTACAGTACTTTGCAGATGTTGTCTTCTGGCTTGCATTTTCTGACAAGAAACCTGCCATCTGTATCTTTGTCTCTAATAATGCCCCTCCTTTCCCCTCACTTTCCAGGTTTTTCTCTGGTACAATTTGATTATGGTATTCCTTGGTACACTTTCCCTCATATTTCTTGTACTTAGGGTTCATTGCACTTCTTGGATTTGCGAGTCTACAATTTTCATCAAATTTGGAAAAATTGGGGCCATTATTTCTTCAGATATTTTTTCTGCCCTCCCCCACCGCAGACACTCACGGACTCCAGTGGGCATCTGTCAGGACACTTGAGGTTGTGTCTCAGCTGATGTCCACTGCTGCCCTGTAGCATTCGGATCGTTTCTGTGGCTGTGTGTTCCGTCCCCTGGTCTCTGTGACGCCTGCTCTGCTGTGCCCAGGTCTCAGCTTCCCCCATCAGTCTGTCCCCTGGCTTCTTGATGCCCTCACCGCCCATTCTGCCATCAGGATTTCTGGGGCAGTTTTGATTGATTTGTGTTTTTCTCATTATGGTTCATATTTTCTTGCTTTTTAACATGTATCTTGGGCTCAGTGGCAGACATTATTGATTGTTAGATCTTATATCCTTATAAATATTCTCGAGCTTTGCTCAGTGATGTTGTAAAGTTACTTGGCAATGGTTTCATCTTTTCAAGTCTTGCTGTTAAACCTCACCAGGTGGGGCCAAAGCAGCGTTAGGTCTAAGTTCAGTGCTTGTTCCCCACTGAGGTAAAGGCCCGCGGGGCACCCGGCCCCGTGCCCCTGCAGCGGTTCCCCTCTGCCGTGGGAGCGGGCGCGTGCAGCCCGTGAGCGCGAGTGGGCCCGTTAGGGCTCGTTCCCGCCTTGGGTGGTCTGCGCACACTCATGCGCTGATCAGTGCCCTGGGAGGGACGCGCGGGGACACTCTGCTGGGTACTTCTCTGTACCACTCTCTTCTCGGTGCTCTGTCCTGTCACAGCTGGTGACTCGTCTCCCTGGACTCCCAGCCCTGTGTCCATGAGCCCGCTGGTTCTGCTTGGGTCCTCCTCGACCCTGGGCAACCCGGGGGTGCAGCCCCTCATCAGCCAGAGATAACTGCTTTCATTGCCTCGTATCCAGGGTCTTAAATTGTGTATTTGTGTGTACTTTTTAATGTTTCAGGCAAGTACGTCTAGTGTCTGTAACTCTGTATCTGTTCTGAAGTGGGTTTTTAAAACTACTCACATGATTTTGTTTTTATTTTGTAATTTGTTGTTGTTGTTGTTAATCCTCACCCAAGGATTTTTTTCCATTGATTTTTAGATAGAATGGAAGAGGGAGAGGGAGGGAGGAAGGGAGAGAGAGAGAGAGAGAGAAACATTGATGTGAGAGAGACACATTGATTGGTTGCCCCCCGCTGGACCCCAGCTGAGGCCCTTGACCTGGAATCAAACCTGTGGCCTTCAGTCCGCCGGCCGACACTAAGCCAAACCAGAGCGGGGCTGCTCACGTGTCGTAATTCAGTGCAGTCACGATGGGGCCCCTTGGCCCTGGTGGTGCATCGTCTGGGGTCTGCCGCGAACTGGCTGGTAACCGAGGTCGGAAGGGCTGCCTCTGCTGTGCCCTCGGCTCTGCTCTGTGACCCTGGCACAAGTGGGCTGCTCGCGGGAGAGCGGACAGCTCATTCCGCTGCACCGTTTGGTTTCAGATTCTTCTTTTCATGGTTCATGTGATCTCTTTTTAGAACGTCCTACCTGCCCACAGTTTACATCTTTTAAAAAATCTGTGTCTTTTCATGGAGAGCCCAGTGTTCTCTAATAAAGAGATGAACAGTGTTGATTTTTTTATATGAGATTTAAAAGCCAAATGCGCTTATTATGGTTATAGAATACCTTATCTGCCAGATTCATCATTAGTATAACACCATTGAAAACTATTTTCAGCTTTAGATAATTAATATTTTCAAAGTCTGTGTTCTTTGATATAAAAATAAACTGTACTAAGTGTTAAAATTTTAGAACATGTAAGAAAGTAGAAGGAAAGAGAACATTTCAGATTACCTATAGTCTCATATCTAGAGGTAACTATTATTAATAGTCTGGTGTACTTTTTACTTATTTATTTTTAATTACTTTAATTTTTTTTTTTTCATCCTCACCTGAGGACATTTTTCCATTTTTTGTACAGATAGAGTGGGAGGGAGAGAGAGGAAGAGAGAGAGAGAGAGAAACATCGACGTGAAAGGGACACATCGAGTGGCTGCCACCCGCACGACCAACCAGGGCCGGGGACAAACTGCAACCTTAATTACTTTAATTTTATTTTCAATCACAGCTGACACTCAGCATTGTTTTGTATTGGTTTCCGGTGTCCCGCATCGTGGTTGGAAAATCATGTGCTCTACAGCGTGGTCCCCCAGTATTTCCAGTAGCACGCGGCACCGTGCAGTCATTACTACACTGTTGACCATATTCCCTGTCTGTGTACTTCCTTTTAGGTGCTTTTTTTAAACTGTCCCCCCACTTTCCATTTTAGTGGAAGACTTACGACCCTGCATTTTCCAAGCTGGAGATTTGGTTCCGGTTCGTCTTTGTGGTGCTCACCTTCTTTGTCACCGTGAGTACCCTTCGCGTGACAGACACGGCAGTCCTCACACGAACGCGTCTTTTGTGAATTCTCACTGTCGGAGTGCGGGCCCCATGGGAGGCTTTCTGAGCTCCGATACCCTGTCCAGGGGCCAGCCTGGTGTTACTGACCGTCTGCGTGTCTGCTAGGGCGCCACAGTGCAAACAGCGATGGTCAGTTCCACAGGGACGTCTGTGTCGCTAGTAGTAATCCCAGGCCACCGACGTGCAGGTGACTGTCATCTGTGTGCACCGGCAGGTGCCCTGCCCCGTGTGGCAGGAAGTCGGCCTGGTTGAGTGACCTTTCATTGTTTGGGCTTTTCGGGAGTGAGGCCCAGGGGGGCGGATGAGGAAGTGCAGGCTGTGGGCTGATTGGGGATCTGAGCCCAGTGTCCACAGCACCGCGTGACTCTGGGGGAAACGCTCACCCTTCAGGCACAGGCGATCCTCAGAGCGGCCGGTCAGTGAAGATGGGGGTTTTCTGTTGGAGGAGGAGGAAGTGGGCCTCACATAGTGACTCACCGCCGTCGGAGGGGTGGCATTCTGCCCACATCTGCTGCCTGTCCCGTGCTGACGCGAGGGTGTGACACTTAGGAGGGGTCCAGTCTTTGCTGTGGTGTCCACTCCAGTTGCCACTGAGGAACACTTGCTTTGCATATACAGAAGGACACAGCTCTTGGGGGACATGAGAGAAGCACCAGACGATGGTGACCTGGGACCTGGGTCTGGACAGAGGGTGGGACACAGCCAGTGGAACACACAGAGCGGAGACCGTGGTCTCCGGCCACGCCCAGGGCTTCCCAGTGAGCTGACTACAGGAAGGTGGAGAGCTGCCATTTACAGCTGGTTAGTCCAAAGTCCTGCTGCTTCCGGAAGCACCTCTGCTACCTGGGTGCTGCTGCCGCAGTCTGGGGCCCGAAGACTGGGCACCCAGGGCCCCGTTCTTGCTCAAGAGAAAGGCCTGAGATAGACTGAGGGAATGACTCATCAACCCAAGAAGTCCGAATTGCCTAGAATATTATTGGCTTGTATTAGGTTATAGAAAAACAAAACATAACCCCAGGCCACTAAATCACAAATTATATAATATTTTAAAGCAGTTTAAAGAAAATTCTCTCGTAGGTCACCACACCTTCTTCGGGGTGTTTTGAGAATGAACACGTCCTCTGACCTCAGCGATAGGCCTTTTTCCCTTGGCTTTTCCTCGGGGAGCCCTGGTACCCTGTCGGTGTTGCCTGCGGGGAGCGTGTGGCCAGGCCCTGGGGGAGTTCTCTGTGGGGCTCTGTTCCACTCCTTGTCCCCTCCTGCCCCATGAGAACAGCTGGTGACCTTCTGACCTGGGCCCCTTTGCAGTCCACCATCTTGTCTCGGTAGTCACTCCGGCAAGGGTTAACTCGGAGTTCTTGGCTGGCGCTGGCCTTCCCATGATCGGGAAGACCTGCCGCGGTGCTCAGCCCGGCGCGCCACGTGGTGACGGGGCTGTCTGGTTCGCAGTGCCTGTTCGCACATTCCCTCCGCAAGTTCTCCATGAGGGACTGGGGCATCGAGCACAAGTGGATGGCCATTCTCCTGCCTCTGCTGCTGCTGTACAACGGTAGGTCCTGCTCCTCCTGGGGCTCCCCCCTTTGGAGCTGGGAGCTGGAGGCAGCCAGGTGGGCTGGCGAGTCCCTGGAGGAACAGCGCCCCCTAGTGTGTGAAGGTGCTGCACCAGGATTTGGAAGATGCCCGGAGCTTTCACACCTGAGTGCTCTGCGGCTGGAACTTGGATGAGCTACAGACACAGCCTCCTTGGAACTTGGCTGAAGGCGGTGAACACTGCCGTCTGTTCCTCTTCCCTGCCCAGAGCTACAGCCTCGGGATTCCCAGGCCTGCGGGGAGGAGCGGGTGGCGCGAGCAGACGGCGTTCTGTAACCATCACTGGGGCCATCTGTTCATTGGCGGTTAGGTTTTTGGGAAAACAAAACAGCCTTTAGTGCACCACCTTCACCAGGTCCTCCTGCCTTCTGCTTTCAGATCCGATCTTCCCCCTCTCCTTTCTGGTGAACAGCTGGGCCCTGGGGATGCTGGACGACCTCTTCCAGTCCATGTTCCTGTGTGCCTTGCTGCTCTTCTGGCTGTGTGTGTACCACGGGATACGGCTGCAGGTGAGCCTCCACCATCCCATCCTGCACTTGCCCTTGAGACCCTGTCTTCAGCCTGGTAGTCAACAGAAGATTCATGCCGTGTAGAAATGATCTGAGTGTCTGCAATCCAGATCTGAGGTCTGTTAGGGGTTAGTGCTTTGCTAAGATTACTAACTTCTCTGTTTTTTATTCTTTTTTTGCTTTTTAGGGAGAAAGGAAGTGTTTGACTTTCTATTTGCCTAAATTCTTCATTGTTGGACTGCTGTGGCTGGCCTGTGTTACACTAGGAATATGGCAGACGTGAGTACTTTTGTCACGTGTGAAGCCTGCCCTGGAAAGGAAGCCTCTGCGCTGTGTACAGACCCCGAGTCGGACTGTGTGTTGTGAGCTCATCCGGGGCCTGTCACCCAGTTTCAAGGCTGGAGACACACGGTCTCTAACCTCAGCTGGGGAAGGGAGACGCGCCTGTCTCTTAGAGCCCTTCTTCAGGAGGCCAGGGTGTCGCCTGCCGGGTCACCTGCCGGCTTGGGGCCCAGGTCCCGCCTGGCTCACCACCGGCCGCCAGGCGTCTTAGCTGCTCCTTCGGCTGCACCTATGAACTTCCCATCCTTCAGCAGCCCCCGAGGCGTCCCTGCTTTGGTGCTTGTGTGCGTCTGTACAATAGTGCCGTGCAGAAGCCTGACGGACTTCCTGCAGAAACTAGTCCCGTCTAAGGGCATGGTTTTGGCACTTGGCACATCGAACTTCATGGCACAATAATGACAGGCCTGAGCTCACACCTTCTCCGCTTCGCGCTCCTGCCCACCTGTCAGCTCTCCGGTTTCAGTTGTCAGCGACGTCAGGGAAGTTCACATGTACTTTTACTGCTTTTGTCGTCCTCTCTGTCTCCTGGTGCCCACATAGTCGTTGCAAGTACCTGCAGAACAGCGCTTAGAGTTGCAAGAGGAACAGTATAGGGACTTTCGAAACGAAAATATTTCCGTTTCCCCGTGGTGAGGGACAGTTACGCTGTAGCATCGTATGTGTTGTCCGTGTGGGACTGAGGATTCTCTGTAAATTTAGGATTACTTTAAAAAACCCTTTACTGTTGGTTAGTAAGTGGTTTGTGTTAATAAGTTTTTTTTTAATCTAAGTGAAAGTATAAAATGAAAAGTAAATTAGTTATTAACCTATTTTTTTTTATAACATATTTTTAGAGTTAATGAATTACACGATCCAATGTACCAGTATCGAGTGGACACAGGAAATTTTCAGGTAAGGATTGTTAACGAAGCCTGAGGATTATTTTTTTAAGCATCGTTTTAAAAGAATGCCTGAATTTTATACTTACCTAGCCGGGGAGACACCATGATCACAAAGGTGGTTTTCCTGGGGCGCGGCTTCTCCGTTGCCCCCTGGGCGTGCTGACCCCATGATTTCCCCAAATGCGGGAAACTCGACTGCACAGTGTGTGGTTACAGCCCTCACGTGCTATGTATACTTAAGTAAAAAACTGATCTTAAAGATATAAAAATAAAAAATGACTGAATTTCGCTCTGGCTGGTTTGGCTCAGCGGTTAGAAGAGTCAGTGTGTGGACTAAAGGGTCACAGGTTCAATTCCTGGTCAAGGACACATACCTGGGTTGTGGGTTCGATCCCTGTCCCTGGTTGGGGTTGTGCAAGAGGCAGGCAATTGCTGTGACTCACATCGATGTTTCTCTCTCTCTGCCTTCCTCCCTTCCACTCTATCTAAAATCGGTGGGAAAGTATCCTTGAGTGAGGATTGACAACAACAAAAAGACTGGATTTTGTAACTTTCATTGTACTGTTGACACGAACTTGCTACCCAGCTCCTTGGGGAGGACTTAGAAAGTTCGCGGGGAGAGGTGCTTGAGTAGCATGAAAAGTGAGCTTCTAACAGCCGTGTTGTTACTCCCAGTCTGTGGCCGATGGTGGAAGCGCCAGGCCAGACGGTGGGTCGGACTTGAGGGCAGCGTTTCTGTTCACTTAGTTCTCAAAGCAACTGCAGGGCCAGCGCTTGGGAGTGTGGCCGTCCTGTGGCTGTCTCCCTCCCTGCCTGACCCTCTCTTCGTCCCTGTAGAGGGTAGTGATGGACGTTCCCTAGGGAGGGGGGTTGACTCACAGGAGTGAGACGGACTCAGGAGGGCGCCCGTCGGCACCTCTCGGTCAGGCGTGGAAGCCACTAGGGCTGCGGGAACCGTCACAGCTCTGGAGAGAACAGAGTGGCCCAGTCTGTTCCCACAGGGAACACCGGGAATCAGAGACCTCGAGGAAGCTGAGCTGATGGGGAAATTCCTTTAGTTACGGGTGAGGAAGGAAAGCTGACCAAGGTCACGGGAGCTGATGAGGCAGAAGCAGCTGCCTGGCTCCCCGACCAGCAGCCCTCTGACCTGGAGCGGGCGCTGGCTCCGAGGAGAAGGGCAGGGACGCCAGGCCCGTGGGGTGGGAGCCTAACCGGAGCAGGCGAGGGCACGCCACCCCCCGGCCCCGCGGGCACGCCCCCCAGCTCCTAGCGCAGGACAAGCGTGCTTGTGTTTCCTGCCGCAGAATCGCGCACGTCTTCTGGACGGCCCACTTCAGTGCCCTGTGTCCAGACGAGAAAACCGAGGGCCAGAAAGCTGAGAGTTGCCTGAGGCTTTCTCAGGGTCTGGTCCTGGAGTCTTTCTTTGACCCCCGCCACGGCTGCACAGGCAGGGCAGAGGCAGGGCCACTGTCGCTCACTGAGCACCCACCGCGTCCCCGGCTGATTAGCAGGGGCTGGGGTCCTCGCGGGGTGGGCTCCCTGCTCTCAGGGCGGGGACAGTGAGACTCGGGGGGCGCTTTCCTGTGGAGGGACCCTCAGGGCCCGGTCCCTGTGGAAATGCCCGCTTCCCTCCCTGCGGGGTGAGGGAGGGTGCCACACCGAGGCTGTGCTGTTTCCTAGGGCATGAAGGTGTTCTTCATGGTGGTGGCCGCCGCGTACGTGTTATACCTCCTGTTCCTGGTAGTGCGGGCCTGCTCCGAGCTACGCCACATGCCTTACGTAGGTAAGCGCCACTTCCTGTGCCCGCGCCGGCCGGGCAGGCTGGGCTTCACATGCGGGCAGGCTGGCGGGAGGCCGCCGGGCACGTGGCCTGGCCTGAGCCGGGGAGACCCCGGAGCTTGTCCCCTCCCCACAGGTGGGAACCAGCGACTCGGCCAGTGCTGGAGGGAGGCCTGTGGGCTGGCAGCGAGCTGGGCCCGGGTACCCGGGCGGCTGTGGGCGCTGCCTGGATCCTTCCACACTGCACCTTGGGGAGAGACTGGCTGGGCCGTGTTCCTAGTCTTTGAGTCAGGAAAAGTCACCCCATTTCATGGGGTCCTTTCCCCCAACCTGTCGCAACAAATCATAATGGCCCTGGCCTCGCTGGGGACCCTGCCGCTCTGACGCGGGCCAAGCGGGTGAGACAGCACCTCTGGGCCTCTGCTCGGGCCGCTTTCAGATCCAGAGGGAAGAGGGGCTTTGCTCAGGGGCTTTCGCTTTATTTTTGTCTGAGACGGAAGGGGAATGTCCTCCAGGGTGGTTTAACGGGAGTATGTCTGTCTCTTTCAGATCTCAGGTTAAAATTTTTGACTGCGTTGACTTTTGTAGTGCTTATCATTAGGTAAGAAAACTTTATTTCTTAAAAGAAGCAAAACTGCATTTTTATTTTACTCTCATGGATGGATGTCTTTTGTCCCTTTCCTGGGGTTAATTTTGGAGAGCTCTAGTTGGAGAGGCTCCGTAGGGCAGAGCGCGGCTGTGGCAGGGCCCGGGCTGAGGGCACCCACCACACGCTGGCCTGTGCTGGCTGAGTGATGCCGGCTCTGACATCTGCCACGGAGGGGAGCAGACTCGTCAAAGATTAGATCCTGCGGTCACTGACCTGCACACGCCCTCAGGGCAGGGCCCGAGGGCCACACCGGCGGGCGCTGGGGGCGCTTGGGAAGGTGTCCTTTTGAATGAGCTACAGATGCCTGGTGGGTTGTTTCTGGTTTGTCTTTCTCTGAATATCAAAATCCAGAGGGAAAAAGCCAGTTCTCTGCATTTGTTTCCCGGTTGTGTGGATGGCGAGTAGGAGGCTGTCAGCCTCTTCCTGGCTGGAGCCCACGGGACGTCCAGAGGCGGCTTCCCTCGGCGATGGGAGGAGCCCGGGGCGCCCGCGCCCTGCCCTCAGCAGGGCACCCTCCCGAGGTGTGAGGACTCCGCGTGGACGTGGGGACGCACTTGAGTGTTGTTCCGCGGTCTGTGGAGCGCGGTGCAAACCGTGTCCCTGAGCTCGTCACACGTCCCTCACACACCGTGACACACCCTCAGCCCTCCGCCCGCCCCCACACTGCCCGTCCACAGGCCCGGAGCCTCTGCCTACTCGCAGTGACCTCTGTGGTCCGTCTTAGGACTTGTTACGCTTCGGGGATTTTTTCATACAGGTTTCCAGGGGGTTCATTCATGTATTGAGCAGATGTTTGAGTGCCCACGTGGGTCAGGAGGCACCTTGTCAGGACCTGTCACTGTTCATCAGCACAGGTGTCTGGCAGGCCTGTGACTGTGCCAAGGGGACACGTGATGATGGGACGCTGGTATTGTAGGAGACGGTCTTGAACCAAGCGAGTGAGAGGAGGAGGGTCGGGGGATGGGCCGAGCACGAGCTTCCAGGCCTGATTCGAGACTGACTGGCCATCGTCAGGGTTAGCTGACTGTGTCCCAGCAGCCGGCCCCCCGGCCCTGAGACCGAGCCCAGCGGCAGAGGCTAATGCCTGTGGTGGACACGTTTCCAAGCAGAGACAACAGTAATGAGACTGTAACTGTTAACAGGGTGAATGTAACAACTTATACAGAGCTAGTGCTCTTCCTTTGTATATTTTACATTTGTCTCTCCTTTTTTCAGCATCGTCATCCTTTATTTAAGGTTCGGAGCACAAGTATTACAGGACAATTTTGTAGCTGAACTGTCAACTCACTACCAGAATTATATCCTTTTCCTGGGAGACATCAGGCTCCAGGAGTGGTCTAGATGGAGTGGTCTAAGCATCGAGAGGAGGCAGGCCCCCTCCTTGTGGCCTGACTGCGGAGCACTTGGGGGACCCCCACCTGTCTGCCCTGTGCTCACCTGGCCCCCTGCAGCCCCAGAATGTGTTGTTCCTCATACACGGCAGCTCAGCTCAGGGTGGAGTCAGCCCCCAGGTCATTACCAGGTGGAGTCAAGCCCGGGACCCAGTGTCCGCGGCCACTCTCGGCCTCTCCTGCCACACCCAGAGTCTCCGGCTGCAGCGGCGTCAGGCTGTGGTACTGAGGGCAGTTTAAGCCTGTCTCCTGGGAGGGCTCAGAAAACTGCGGGACCTCCGTGCATTCCTGCATGGGTGCCCGAGGCTGGAGTTCTCCAGCGCCCTGTGGCCAGGCATCCAGGGATGGGGGCACCCAGGGATGGGGCACCCAGGGAGGGGGGCTAACCCTTAACGTCTTGGTTTCTTCCCTGGGGCTTCTTGCATCCTTAGAATTAATTCATGATTTTTCAAATATTTGTGACTGCATTTCACACTAAATTTTTATCAGATTCTCAAAGGGGTCTGTCACCAGGGAAGAGGTAAGAATGAAGGTTTGAGGGTCTGTTTTCAGTTCTTTTTAATCCTCACCTAAGGACACTTTTCCATTGATTTTTTTTTTTTTAGATGGACTGGGAGGGAGGGAAGGAGAGAGAGAAACATCCAAGTTAGACATGTTGATTGATTGCCTCCCACACGACCCCAGGGCTGGGGATCAAACCCGCAACCGAGGTACGTGCCCTTCACCAGGAATCAAGTCCGAGACTCTGGTCTGTGGGCTGACACTCTCACCGCGGAGCCAGATCGGCCAGGGCTGTCTCCACTTCATCTCACGCCTGCGGCCTCCCCCCCTGCTGGGTCTCAGTGGGCCCTGCCTCCTCGGAGGTTCCCATGGGTAGCAGAGAGCAGGGCTCACCTGTTACCACAGGTAACCTTGAAAGGCGGCTGTGACCTCCGGCTGTGGCCTGGCCCCGGGCGTCCTGAGGTCTGGGCTGGGGCCCGAGAGCCCCGGGTCAGCGGTGAGGGTGCTGCAGGTGGGAGGCAGGCGACCAAAGCAGACACCAGTGGTGCCGACTGTGGGGTGTCCAGGGCCAGCTGCTTTCCTTGACGCTGTCACCAGCTGAGTTCTTATCCTTCTACGGCTTGTTGAACTTCTACCTCTACACGTTGGCCTTTGTGTACTCCCCATCGAAGACCGCCCTGTACGGTGAGCCGCCCGGGGCCAGGCAGCTCGGCTCCCTTAGTGCGGGGCCGGACCCGGTGCCCCTTCTCTAGCAGGGAGACAGGTCACGTTCACGGTGAGCTCTGGGTTTCAGTCAGAACAGCGTGTGTGGTTACAGTGCAAGGTGAGCCATGTTCGCGGGTGCCCGCACAAGCATGATGCCCGTCAGCACGTGCATCAGTCTGTTGGATGCTCGTGCGTGAGCTCTCGGGAGAAAGCCACAGTGGAGAGTCTCCTCCCCAGAAATCAGAACCAAGAACAGCAGAACAGCCAGTTGCACAGGGAACGAACAGGATGAGAACTTGCTGGAACCTGGGTGGGGCCTAGCATGTCAGGACCACCCCTGACTTTGACATCCTGTGAGCTCTCAAAGCACCTTCACGAGAAATGTCATTTGCACTTCACAGCAGCTCCGTGATATAGGTGCAGCTACTGTCGTGTAGGGACGAAGAAACGGAGACATGTGGCTCGCTGCAGGCCCGGGCAGAGGGGCAGGGCGGGCGGGCCCAGGCCTCCCGGCCGCCTTCCGCCCGCTCCCTGAGCGCTTAGGGAACAGGCCGGAGGCAGCTCCCTCTACTGGGGGGGCTCCCCGGGTTCCAAGCAGTGAGCTGCCCTGGCAGGCAGGCAGGCGAGAACACGCTCAGGGCCCACACAGGCGATAAATGGTGGAAGCTGGGATTTGAATCCAGCTTTCTGACGTCTGTCCTTCTAGGACGAGATCCTCCTCACCAGACTAATACCCCAAATGCTCGTGTTGGTTTTCAGAGTCCCAGCTGAAAGACAACCCTGCGTTCTCCATGCTCAATGACTCCGACGATGATGTCATCTATGGGTAAGTCACTGCGCCCGGAAGGCTGTCCCACGGGGAGCATTCAGTGGGTTTTGCTGAGCAGGGCATTAGCGTTCCCCTGGCTGGCAGTGTCACGCGGTCTCACGGTTCCGTTTCCATGCTGTGTGGCTGAGACTGGACGGTGTTCCTCTATGCTGAACACCCCCAGCGAGCGGTGACCACAGGAGGGCCAGTTCTTTGTGGATGGGGGCCCTGGTGACGGGGGGTGGGGCCGAGGAGTGGGCCCTGTCAGCAGGCCACGGAGATGGGGAGAGCGAAGCTGAGATGAGGTCTCGTTCGAACGCGTGGCAGTGTGGGAGAATAGAATCTGCAAAAGCGGACTCGTGTTGAGGGTCTGTTTCCTAACAGGAGCGACTACGAAGACATGCCCCTGCAGAACGGCCAGGCCATCCGCGCCCAGTACCAGGAGGAGTCCGAGAGTGACTGAGCTGCGGGGCAGCGGGACGGCGGGGAGCACCTGCCTGCCCCGAACCCGCCGCGTCCAGACTTGGCCTAGAAGCAGAGATTTCCTGGTCCTTATTTGTTTACATATTTTTGAAAGGAAAACCAAAACTGAGGACACCTTCTAACGCTGGGCCTCATGTATTGTTGGAGTGGCTGCATTCCCTGGGGAGGAGAGGCCCTGGCACAGCCGATGCTTCTTCAGAGATTTCAGATGAGGGAGAGCTTATCAGGGGTAGGGAGGACATTGCTCCTGTTTTTAGTAGAGAGAATTATGTACTTATTTAAAAAAAACTTTACTAATTGCGAGTTTGTGGAAAACCTTTCTGGATGAGGTCCACAGCATGGTAGGATCCCTTTTCCCCCGCCCCTTTAAACTCCCAGGGAAGCCTGTTTGTTCCCACGGAGTGGCCCGCGCTCTGGATAACCAAGCATCTGAGTGACCCGCAGCTCCCGTGGCTGTGACCCCAGCTCCCGTGGCTTTGACCTGCAGCTCCCGTGGTTGTGGCCCCAGCTCCCGTGGCTGTGACCCGCAGCTCCCGTGGCTGTGACCCCCAGCTCCCGTGGCTGTGACACCCAGCTCCTGTGGCTGTGACCCCAGCTCCTGTGGCTGTGACCTGCAGCTCCTGTGGCTGTGACCCGCAGCTCCTGTGGCTGTGACCCCAGCTCCTGTGGCTGTGACACACGCCAGGAACAGCTCCTGAGGGAGACGGCGAGCGGCGTGCATTCCGAGGCGGGTCGGACAAGGTGGCTAAGAAAGGCAGAGAGCTGACAGCGTGGGGCTCCAGAGGGAGAGGTCTGGCTGCCGCACGGTTCCCAAGGGTTTCCCGTGTGTGCATGGGTGTGTGTGTGAGCGTCACATACGTGGGTACGGATGCATGTCCCTGTGGCTGGGGTGGGGAAGAGGGTGTCCCTTGAATTTCAATAGGCAGTGCATTCTGCAGCTCTGCTCCCCATGACACCCAGTAGAGCTTTATTTTTTTTAAATAAAAGCTTAACAAATGATTGACATGTTATAGATTCTTTACTGCCAAAAACTTCAGTTTCTTATTTGGAAATGAGATGAAAGAAAGTAAAGCATTTTGGGTGGTTGATGGAAGAACATCTTTGACTAGAAGGTAACTTGTTGGGGTCTTGTCACCTGGTGGTCAGGTAAGCAGGTCAGTCGCCGAGGGAGAGGAGGTGTCTGCCGATGCTGTTCCGTCGGACTCGGGCTCTGGGAGGGACCCCTCTGCCCCTGCTCCGACCGCTCGCTGTCTCTCGAACTGCAACGTGCTCAGGGCAGGCATCCTGCTTGTGCCCTGGCAGAGCAAGGTCTGGGCTGTCGCTCGGCTCCACCCCGGTTCCCGCGTCTCCCTCCCCGGTGCCAACGCCGCGCTGGGGCCGGGGAGGGTCCCGGGAGACGACTCGTTCTGCCTCCACACCTTCCCTTGTCATTTAAACATTAATGATGACACACCTTTCACGGGGAGTCCGTTTATATGTTTTTAAACCCTGTAAATATGAGTGTTTGAATTAAAACTTTATTATTGCAAGGGTGATTCATGTTTACATGGCTTTTTATATTCGCATTGGTGTGATTACATTTTTTGATGCTGTATGCTCAGAGATATTGAAAAAAATTTTGTTACCAAATTTTACCACTTCTATTAAGACTAACTATAAATAATTTTATGTAAATTGACAAAAACTTACTTGCGCTGATTAATATATTCCAGTATGTGATATAGTTTACATTTTTATCATCATAAAATAATAGTCCATAATTTGGAATGCTGTTATCAGTAAATGTAAAATGTTTGAGGCATTTAGCCATACAACTTAACTTGTTTTTGTCCTATGGTGTAATTACAAACTGATGACTGCTATCTCCATGTATTGACTCATCGTGGCCTCAAGTCAAGAAAATGAACAACGTGGGTATGTTATTTACTTTGTGTCACTGCGTTGGGAACAAGAAAAAAATTGAAAGTACTGAAGGGGGAAATGGTTATTAAATCATGCATTTTCAAGTTCTCTTTCTGGTGTATCATATATCTCAACATATTACATACTCTGTGTAAAATTTTCCTTCAAGTATGTTTAGCATGTACTATACGTGCCCCACGTGTTAGGTTAAAGCACGAAAGTCTGCCAGAAACTTTAGACAGCAGCAAGAACTTTTTTCTTGGAGAGCATCAAAGTCTTACAAACTTAAATTATAAATTCAAAGGGCTAACTTTAGTTCTTCCATGGTAACAGCTTGAATAACATCATCTTTGGGATAATTTTTTAAAATACCTTTTTATTGATTTTTTAGAGAGGAAGGGGGAGATAAACATCCATGTGAGAGAGAAATATCCATCAGCTGCCTCCTGCACGCCCCCTACTGGGGATCAAGCCCACAACCCGAGCATGTGTCCTGACTGGGAATCGAACCGGGATCTCTCAGTCCATGGGACATCGCTCAATCCACTGAGCCATACCAGCTGGGCTGGGATAATTTCTTATACAGTCTAGTCTAGGGCAACTTGGAAGATGACCACAGGTATTTCCGTTTCCCCAGGGAGAGCTTCATTATCTATGTGGACAGTAGTTCTACTAGATTTATTATTAAATCACTACTGCAGTGAAGCAATGCGTTTTGTCTCTCTTAAGCCCCATTTGAGAGGCTAGAGAAGGGGACACGTGAAATATATTCAAGACATGTAAGATCATTCCTGTACATAATTAGATTTCAGTAAGTTTAGATACAGCATGTACACTCAGCCTGCTAAATGGGCAGATAAGACAAATATCACCAGCCTCAAGTATTTCATGAACTATTTACTAAAGGTATCATTATATTAAATAGGTTCTAATCAGTAACTCACTTCCTGGAGTCCTTTTCACAGGGACAAACAGAATCTCACAGAAGGGACGATTAAAAGGGACATCTAGTGAAGACTAGACGTAAAAGGGTTTATTTACTTTGAGGGTTTAGAAACCAGTTGGCTTAGAGGTTAGACTTTTGAAAAAATCTTTTCCCCGGGCCAAAGGGAAGCGATAGCTTACCTTGTTTATCTTGAGTTCACGTGTTTAAATGTACCGGTAACCACGATACCAGACTATGAAACAAGGGTTTTCTGCTACTGAAAACTGCCTTTTTACAAAGACTGTAAATATTTGTAAAATAAAACAAACTCAGGCCTAAGCTCCAAAGGCTAGAGCTGTGTACTGGGTCTTAGAACTGTCAGTGAGCACAGGAAACCTCACAGGATAAGCGCTCTAATCAATGAAGAGTCAACGTTTCTTTATGGCACACTTTGGGAGTGGCTTCATTCTGGTATTACTTTTCCGGTAGATGTTAATAAATTTTTAATATTCAGTCCTTTTTAAGTATATTGATTTGTTTGCTTTTTGCATGTAGGTAACTTGACCTTGAAGACATGAGCGCTTTCTGGACAGAGCAGGGCTGTTTTCATTTCGGCAAGCGGACAGCGAAGTGTGTCCGGTGCTGTGGTGATGTGGCCCTCGCACGAGCACAAAGATGGTCCAAGGCCAGGGTTTGGGGCCCTCCTCACTTACTTGGATATGACTTTAAATCAGAGGACCTACAAACATATTTTCTATAAATAATGGTGTTAATCGTTGTAGACAAAACGATTGTGAAAGCATTTTGCAAGCCCTAAAGTACTAAAACACTGTGTGCGATGGCTACCGGACACTGGGGGACGCGGAGCTCAGGCTGCAGCGCCGCAGGCGGCCGAGCTGCGCACTGCTGCCCTCTAGCTCTCGGACCGGAAGTCCGCTGGGCCGCTTCCACCCGAGGCTCAAAGAGGGGAGCGGAGGGTGAGGGTGTGTGCCCAGGGGTAACGAAACCTCAGCACAACACAGTGAAGCTGTCAGGACCCTGGTCCCGTGGTGATGGCAGCGAATCCTTGTGTTGGAGAGGACCAAAGCAGAATTGCAGCTTCTGGTTTTAGTTTTTTTTTTTTTTTAGTTTTATAGATGCTGGAGCCACTAACTAAATATGAAGAATTCATTTGTGATACTATTTAGGCTATAAAGAAAAACACACAAACTTGAAATTGGAATAATTTATTCTAACAAAGTACAAAGTTTGGACAATTAGTGTGTTTGAGCCACGTCAGAGTAGAGAAAGGTTCGCACGAGCAGACTGGAGTTCTTAGCACCTTGGAGCAGACACTAGAGTGAAGACAAGTGGCCGTGCAGGCCTCTGGTGGCCCGAGTGAACGAGTCCCGTCGGGGGTGCTGATCATAGAGGGTGTGGCCCTTTGGGTGATTTCTCTACAATTTGTGAGTGCCACAAAAAACAAAGAATGGGAAGGTGTTCACGGAGTTCACGGCTGGTGGTGAGAAGATGGGAGAGAAATCGAGGAGAAGGCCGGGCGGCCGAGGCGGTCAGATGGACAGGCCGAAGGCGCTGACGATGCAGTACATGGTCTTGTTCTCCCACCGCACAGTGCAGCTCCCTGCGGGACAGGCACACAAGTCAGGACCACGGGCCACCCATCCTGATTCTGACAATAAGGCCAAAACACTCAGCTATTTGTGGTACATAAGGAGGTTGGCAAGTCTCTTTACTATAAAATGTTTTAAAAGGTGACTCTAATAAACATGCATTCAAAGACACGAAACATCCAAGCACACAGTTCATAAAACACTGCTTTGGATAACCCAGATCTCAGCGTGGCCCAAGAAGACACTGAAACTCAGGAGAAGGCCCACGACACCCTGACCCAGGGAACGAGAACCATACCGTCAGTAGAGCTGTCCCAGAAGCAAGAACTCGCCGTGTGAAGTCCCGCTCCGTTCTTCTGCATAATCACACAGGTCACTTCAACGAAAACAACTTTCATTAGAAAAACCTACTTGGCAACACACATTTCTCTTTGCCTGCTTTCAGCATATGTATGTTGATCACGTGGTTGAGGCTCACGATAAAAATGATCAGGGCAGAGCGCCTGGTCCTACAGTGACAAACCACACTCGTCCCTTCCCTTCACTGCGCACTAGGTCTAGAAGCATCTGATCTGGAATCCCGTGGCATGCCCTGCGAATGCTCCAGCCCAGCAGACCAGTCGTGCAGGTTATGACCTAAAATCAAGCAATGTGCCCAACACAAGTGACACTGCTACGGGGGCTTTGAGGCCGGGCACCACACGGACACGACCCCTCTGCTGACACCAGACCCGCCTCTGATCATACTTCAAGAACCAGCACCAGTATCTACGAGAAGCACAAATCCATTACCAATGTATTTAAATGGTTTTCCCAGCTTGGTGAGTTGGCTTAAAGTTTGTTCCACTACATTTGTGGTCCACTGATTGACTTTGCTGTGCTGATAGGCGTTGCCACCGATGGCACTTTCTATAGCCTGGAAGACAAAGCACAGAGAAGTCACTGTCAGCAGTGAGCACTGAAGTTCATCACCCTGAGCACTGCTGAAATACAATGTAAGCTTATTTGTATCCATGACGACTCCTCTGCAAACATACCTTTTAAGTATCATATTGAAATGTTTTATATTTGTTTTTAAGAATTCATGATTACAGAGGGTCTGTCACATTCTGACTTAACTTAATGTTTACTGTTGCTTTGAGTACCTGGATAACACCAACATCTTTCCTATGAAGCTAGAAACGATTTTCCTTTGCCTGGTCCTTTCTTAAAGTACAGTAGATACAGGAATCTGTATGTGTTCATACAACTGACAATGCATAAACGTATCCAAATAATGTATTTATAAATATTTCCTTTACCCAGCATTTTCTGGGAATATGTTACAACACAAATGCATTTTTCAGATAACTAAAGAACAGCCCTATGTCTTCCAAAACAAGTTTATGATGAATTTTTTCATTATTATGAAATTCCTTGCCTTCACTTCCTGTGCTGTGTTTGGGGAGGGTTCATGCTTCCAGAAATACGTATGGTTCCTTGCCCCTACTCTTGCTCAAGTTCACGGGCAGGATATTCCCATTTATGATTTTCTGGGCCTTCTGTGCTCCACTATCTGCTCAGCTTACACAGGAAGGGAAACCTTTCCGGCCTCATGCTGCCCAGCTCTCTGCAGCCCTCCAGGTCCTTCCTCCCTACCCCTTTGAGTCCCTCAAACACACTACACGCACCCTTGCCACAGGGCCTCTGCACATGCTGTCCCCTCCCTGGACCGCTGTCCCCTCTTCACTGAGCTAATGCTCCTACTCATTCCAGAGTTCTTTTTTGTCTCCCATTCTCATTATCTAAGGGAATCCCATGGTCAATAATGATAAAGTAGATAGTTCAGAAATGTAAGAAAAATAAAGAAACAAATAGTGCCAAATGAATCACCAAGTCTTGAATAACTGAAAGTTGTTCAATTTTTTATATTTGCTCTTTCTTCTCTAAACATTGGGAACATTTACTGGTATATAATGAGTCTTTTATGCTAACGGGTTACAGAACAAGACTTAGTAACATTCAATAATAATGCCAGTATATAAAATGTCCTGTCTGATTTAAAAGATATAATTTACATAATATGGGAGTAATTCTTATCTAGATGTTCTCTGAAGTAAAAACTGTTATTTGAAATGCCAAAACACAGGCTCAGCTGAAACAATTCCAAGACAGTATTTAAAACATTATTTTCACTCATATAAGCCATTAACTGAATATTTAAAATGCAGGCCTCTCTCCTCTTACCTCTTTCACAATGTTGCTCACTTCATCAACAACAAAAGTAGTCTGTAAGGAAGAAAATGAGCTACGTTTGATTGATTTAAAAGATTCACATCCACTGATTAATGCAAATTTGGGTAATGAACATACTTTAGAAATGAAGACCTTAGAAATAATCTAAACAGCCTGTTCATTTTGCCGAGGGAAACATTACAAAGAGACTCTAACAGTAAGTGGCTCTCTGAGTCACAGAGCTGGGGCAGGAGACTATAATTCATATATATACAGCTTACAGGTTTCTCGTTCTGCTTTTGTTGTGATCATGCCCTGATCCAAAAGCCTGACTTTAACTTAGAATTTAATTTCTCCATCCATTTCAACTGGCCACTAGGACCATTGACAAGTATCAGTTTAAGGAATGACTTGACTTTAGTAAAAATTACTGACACTTTCCCTGAGGTACACTGAGTAGGAGGCCTGAAATTTCAGATATTTGGGTTTATTTTCTTTCTCAATGCTGTCCTACTTTGGGACTACACAACCAGCTGCTAGCGAGCGGTGGAGTGTCAGGATGGGGGAGGTGGGCTGCCGGTGGTAATCTAGTGCTAGGAGTTTATGAATGGTTTTCTTTTTTTACATGTGGCCTATTTGAATAGACACAAGTTTCACCTGAGTCCTGGGAAGAGGACTTAACTCTGGACATGCCTTCCAGGGGCAGCCCCAGGCCCCCAGTCAGTGTGCATTCTGGGGGAACAGAGGCAGAAAGCCCTGCTTCTGGTAGGGAGTTTCTTCCCTGCTGGGCTGCTGACCACTGTGGCCTGTTCTAGCAATGCCCCTTTCTTTCCAGGAGGATCAAGAGCTGACCCCTCTCACTTGCTGTACTCAGAAGTCATGCTTGGAGACAAAGCCAACTCACTAAGAAAAATTTGCAGTATCTTAGAGAGTAAATTACTTCTTGAAGTTTAGAGGATCCTTCCAAGGGACTTCAATGATCCTAAACCACATATAACTTGCTATGTGGTTAAAATATTAAAAAGCTTGAAGGGCTTTTTGATGGCCTCTCAGGGGAAAACGGAGTTGTACAGAATCCACTGGGCAGTTTCAACTTCTGCAGGAAAGACGGACAGTGAACTGAGAGTATCTACATGGAGTCACAGGAAACTCGAAGAAGGCTCAGTTCAGAGGCTGTCGGGGGACTGGCGTGGATTAGCGAATACCAAAGACATGCCTGCTACGAAGAACAGAGACATGGTCTCATCCCTGCAGGGCTGTGTCGTGTGTAAAACACAGATCACTGTTCAGCCCCTTCATTTCACAGACATGCAATTGATGAAGTCACTTAGCCCCCTCAGTGGCGAGCACCAGAATTAGAACACAGAGCACTCCAGTGCCAGTATCAAGGGCTTTCTCTTCCATTGCCATTTCCTTTCTTAAGGTTGTACTCAGTATTTCTGTAAGAAGCCATTTTCCAATATCCCATCAGTTCATCGTTCACAGGGGAAAGCTCTTCCTTTGCGAGCTGCTCCTCATGTCTTCTCACACGCACTCACTCGCTACTAGCATTCAAGCACTCCTGAGGGCACTGCTGCTGAGTTTTTGCTACTTAAAAAGGCAGATCAGCCCTGGCTGGTTTGGCTCAGCGGTTAGAGCGTCGGCCTGCGGTCCAGAGAGATCCGGGTTCAGTTCTGCTAAGGGCATGTCGGTTGCAGTTTGTCCCCGGCCCTGGTTGGTCGTGCGGGTGGCAGCCACTTGATGTGTCCCTTTCACGTCGATCTCTCTCTCTCTCTCTCTCTCTCTCTCTTTCTCTCTCCCCCTCCCTTCCTCCCTCCCTCCCTCCCACTCTATCTGAACAAAAAATGGAAAAATGTCCTAGGGTGAGGATTAAGAAAAAAAAAAGTAGATCAAAACAGAGACTCCAGGATCAATCCTTAAGCCTCAGATCCCTCCCCCAAACATTCCTGCTTAAACTAAATTTCAAAAACCTTACCAAATTTACCTATAGTTTTTATTTTTGACAGGCTGAAGAATACATAGGACTCGTTTTTTTTTTTAAATTTTAACAAGAGTTATTTAGCAAGAAGAAAACTACGTTTCTGTAACAGCAGCATCATCGGCTCTAGTCCCTGGGCGCCTGTGGGCCCGAGGGAAAGCCATTTGAACAGCGCAGGTGACCGCGCACGTCTTGCCATCTCACCGCCGTCTCACTGTCCCCGCACCACGGGGCGTCTCACCGCCGTCTCACTGTCCCCGCACCACGGGGCGTCCCACCGCCGTCTCACTGTCCCGCACCACGGGGCCGTCTCACTGTCCCGCACCACAGGGCTGTCCCACCGCCGTCTCACTCAAACTGATCCAGCTGCGGCGGCCAATGGGCGTGGGCACCGCACCGAGGCACGAGGCGGGAACGAAGACAAAGGCGGGTTCTCCGACGTGCACTTCAGCGCTCTGCAGGCAGCCCAGCATCAAATCCGTGCCCGAGGGACCTGGGAGGGGGCTGCACGTGGTGTCCCGCGTGCCGGCCACCCTGGAGTCCTGCGCTACACGCCGTGCACAGCAGACGCCCAAGCGGCCTCGGTGCGCGCAGGGTCGTGCGGCCCCGGCCCAGGGAGGGTCTGCACCGACGAACAAAAGGAGCAGGTGGCACCACGCGCGGCGGCCGGGCAGCAGGGGGCGCGCCGCGGGGCGGGGCGGGGCGGGGCGTGGAGCGCACGGGGTCGCCCCGCCCCCGGCAGGTTGACCACACCCGGAGCGGGCCGCCGGGGTCACCGCGGAGCGCTCGGCAGGCCGCCGGCGCCGTCAGCCCGCGCGGGGACGGCCGCTGCCCACGCCCAGACGCGGCCCAGGGACCCACACACGCCTTGGCTGCCGCCGCCCACTCGGCCCAGGGCCCCCCGGCCTCCACCCTTCCCGTCGCCGACCCGGCCGTTACCTCTTCCGCAGCCTGGTAGTCTTCCATCTTCCCTCCGGCGCGTCGCCTCCGCCTCCCTGAGTAGCGCGCACCGCGCCGGCGCACTCAGGCCCCGCCCCCAGGGCCCCGCCCCCTAGGCCCCGCCCACGCCCGCTCCAGGGACCCGGCCCTTCCCGTGCCGCTGCCAGGCGGGCGCGCCAGGTAGGGTGTGGGGATGATGTGCTCCCGCCCTCCCGGAGCTGGTGGTTTCCGCGGGAACCCCTTTGAGTAGCCTGGCAACTGGCTAGACCGCAGCAACCAAAACAAAACAGAGGCAAACAAAAACAAAGTGAATGTACAAAGCCTGGTCAGGAGGGAAGGGTCGTCTGGCCTCTTCCTCCAGCTTGTACTGTACTGTGTGCGGTAATGTGAACATTCAGTGCGGCTTGGACACCTAGTAACAAATTGTAACGTGACTTCTAACCTTGATGGGCAGCGTGAGATTTTGGTTACAGTCCCTCTGGGGAGCCAGGGTTAGGAAACTTGACTTCTGATAGAAACCTTCCTTTGCGGAGGCAAGTTTTCCATATAAATTAATTTTTTTTAAAGCACCATTTAAAAAACAATTTTTGGGTGAAAAAATTTGTAAAACGCTGTACATTTGCTGGCTGCCTTAACCAGAACGACCTACACATACACTTGACTTGTGTACAGGGGTCTTTATGAAAATTAGTAATTCCATCAGGCTCTGGTATGGTGCTTTCCAAGAAGGGCTAGGTTATATGTACCTGCTTGTGTGGACTCTGAGGCTAAGATCTTTGACGTTGCGGACTGTTTTTCTGGTTTTACCACACCCCTGAAGTCAAGCTGTCATTTCTTACCTCTCAAAGCCCAGTTGCTAAAACCCACTTCCCATCCCCCCAGGAAGAGTTGTGACCACAAGACCCTGAGACTCGGTGCAATTAAGCTGCTGAGCCCACATTCAATCCATCAGCAATCCTTGTTGTTTCTTTCCTATAGAATCTAGTTTCCATGCAGGCAGAATCTGTTTTATTCACTGATATCCCCTGCCTGCTTCAATTATGCCTGGCACATAGTAAGTGCACAGTGAAAATTTACTGAATGACTCCGTGCTTTCCCCACAGGTGTTAGTTCTGTCTCATACCCAACTGCAGAGAACTGGAGAGTGCAACCCCCTGCCTCCTTGTGGGAAACAGGTGGGGAGAGGAAGGCGAAGGCCTGGAATACACTGGCTGCGGTGCCCTGCACACCCAGCCGGAACCAGGCCTGCTGGGACACTGGGTGCTCTCCAGCACCTGGTTTCTGCTTCTTGGATTCTGAACGTTACTTAGTTTTTGAGTTTTGTTCTTTTCCTATTATCTGGCTTCCACTCGCCTGTTCCAGTTTCAGTCTTGTGCCTCAGTCTACATGTGATTCTAATTCTGACATGCCCAGCTTCCCTTGAGAATCCATATCTTTTTTTTAATTAATTTATTTTTGTTATAGATGTTTCTCCTTTTTACCCCATTGACACCCTCCTCCCCATCCCCCTCCACTCTGTCCCTAGCTTTGTTGTCCATGTCCATCGGTTATGCATACATCATATAAGTTCTATGGTTTATCTCTTCCCTCCCCCCCACCCCCTCTTCTGAGGATTGTCAGTCCGTACCCTACTTCCACGTCTCTGGGACTACCCTGTTCCTCAGACTGTTATGTTCATTATATTCCACAAATAAGTGAGATCATGTGATATTTGTCTTTTTCTGCTTGGCTTGTTTTGCTTAGGATAATATTCTCCAGGTCCCTCCATGTCATCTCAAAGGATAAGAGATCTTTCTTACAGCTGCATAGTATTCCATTGTGTATGTGTACCACAGCTTTTTTATCCACTCATCTATTGATGGACACTTGGGCTGATTCCAGATCTTAGCTATTGTAAATAGTGCTGCTACGAACATGCCATCAACTTACACCATACACAAGAATAAACTCAAAATGGGTAAAAGACTTGAATGTGACCAGTGAATCAGGTGTTCTTCTCAGTCACTTGACCCCGCCTGCCTGGTTCTGGGCCGTCAGCGGCACCACGCTCCTGAGCCAAAGCGGGGGCCTCGTGACTCTTCTGATTCCCTCCTCTGCTGAGGACCTAGAGGAGCTGTCTCAGAATTAGGTAAAGCCGGAGTGAACAGGTGAACATCTGCAGCTGAACATCTGTGAGGTTTGGGACATATTTTAAATATGGCTCCACAGCTTTTAGGAACTTCCTGAGCGTCCTGAATGACCCTGGAAAAGTGCATTGGTGGTGCAGAGACCTGGTGACATTGTGACTGAAAATCACCCACATGTACATGAATCAACAAGAAACATGTAAATGTGAATTTTGAAAGGTTCACATGACTTTAGTTTATACACATTGGGCACCACTCTCCAATGTTAACTATTGAAGAACATTCACTAAGTGCTCGTGGCATATGGCATGTTGTGTCTGCCCCAGAAATGCATAGATTGGTCCGTTTATTTTCTGAACTATTTGCTCATTCTCTCTCTTGTTTTTTACACACACATATTGAGCACTCGCTTTGTGTCAGCCTCTGAGCTGGAGCAGAGGCTGCAAAGTTGAAGATACGGTCTCTGTGGAAAATTGTTTAAAAGTACTTTTCTGCAAATAGGAGGATTTGAATTCTCTAGGTTCGGTGATGCTGTCGTGCTTGGGAAAACAGCAACAGGGCATTGTATCCTGCCCAGTGTGCACTCTGTCGGGCTGAGGAGTTTGAAGTCACTGTGGCATTTGGTCCTCTGGCTGCCATATCCAGCACCCTGATGGCCCAAGAATGAATGTCCACCAGGCTCGTGCTATGGGATTCGGCCACATTTTAGAATAATGTTTAGTTGCTGCGCAGTAAATCAGCGCAGGGAAGCTTGGGTTAGCTTTTCGGTTTGGGAGTTAGCTGGACTGGCAGACACTGCGTGCTTTCTTCCTCCCACTCAAGTCTCAGTGACAGATTTCTTAGAAACAGGGATCGGCCTTGCAGTGCCTTTATATCAAGTATGGGCCTAATAATCCTGGTCATGCCGCCTCAGCAGATACATCGGCGGCCACAGTGTTGTCTGTGACGGGCGGCCCTTCACCGTCCAGAGCCAACCCTGGGGATATTCGAGTTTTCCCTCCTTTCCCTGCGCCTAGGAGCGTGTTACCGAGATGCACCGTGGGGTCAATAATAATAACGATAACAACAATAATAATACAGTGAAGCTGGTAATGCAAAAACACTGCAGTCTGAGGAATTCAGTGCCGTGGGGAACAGAACATGGACCTGTGGCTGGCACACACCTAAAGCGAATCCTAGCCTGAGAAAGTGCGGGCTGACAGATGCCATCCGCTGGGCAACGCGGCCCAGCGGCCTGAAAAACCGATGGAAATGGCTGTGAGTCCCCTGGGTCCCTCTTCCTCCCAGCCCGGCCACCGCACCCCTTCCCTGGGACCCTGCTGGCTCGCGGCCCAGCAGGAGCCTCCAGCGGGTTCTTCTGATGTTTGTGCTATGAGAGCTGTTAGTGTCAGTGCCCGTGTGGACACGCACACGCACACGCAGCGTCAACCAGCAGAGGCTGTGAGCTGCAGAAACAAGTGACCCCAGGCTCTTGGTGGTTGATTGTCACTCACAGGCAGGACCACGGAGGGGCTGCTGTGGCTCTGCCCCGTGGCTCCTCCACCTGGGACAGGCCGATGGAACAGCATGACCCCGGGGTCAGGAGGGAGAGAAAACGGTGGCAGAGTGCTGGCGGGGAAGGTGCTGCGCACAAGTGGCAGGTGTCACCTCTGCACGCATTTTGTCCAGAGCAGGTCCTTGTCCACGCCTGAGTTCCCAGGGCAGGGACACCTAAGGCAGGAGAGTGCTGCAGCCGCCAGGCGGCGCGGAAGGTTTCCCTGGCGGTTCACCCCCCACGCTCCCCACGCTCCCCACCTGCCCACGCGGCGCGGAAGGTTTCCCTGGCGGTTCGCACCCCCACGCTCCCCACGCTCCCCACCCTGCCCAGGCGGCATCGCCGCTGCCCCGGTTCCGCGGCTCTGCAGTCTGCCCCGCCGCCCGTGTCAGCGCACTGTGCTCCAGGTGTGATCTAACTTATGCGGCCCGTGCGGCACTCCGGGCTCTCCTGCCTTTGCCCCTGCCTCCCTGCTGCCCACTGTGCCTGAGCCCCAGCTCAGGGCCTCCCACCCTGTTAATTATGCCCCTTGAGCCCTGGCTGGTTTTGCTCAGCAGTTAGAGTGTCAGCCAGACTGAAGGGTCACGGGTTCAATTCCCCGTCAAGGGCACGAACCTGGGTTGCAGGTTTGATTCGGGAGGTAACTAAGCGATCACATCAATGTTTCTCTTTCTCTCTCCCTACCCCCTCCCTTCCACTCAATCTAAAAATCAATCAAAAATATCCTCGGGTGAGGATTAACAACAACAAAATTATGCTCCTTGAGCAGGAACAATTTTTGAGCATGTATCCCAAAGAAGTGTTTATTTCAACAATGAGTATTTAACTATGAATCCATAGGGTCACTCAGATCTGCCTCACCCCAAAGTTTGCTTAAGTCACTCTTCCCTTTTGTCATTCTAGCCCTTCGCAGCCCACCACCACCTCCCTCACCTGGTGGAATTCACCAGCTCAAGTTGTCATCCTCGGGCCAGAGAAGAGTGAGACTTCAGAAGCAAAGAGCCAACGGGATGATCAAAGTGAACCTCATTTACAGGTGAGGAAACCAAGTTCCAGGACCGCTCGGAGAGACCTAGCGACTCCCAAGGCCACACAGCGCACCTGTTCCCGGTCACCAGCTGGCTTGAGTGATATTCTCAATTAGGGTTCACACTACTTCACCCTGAGAAGTGAGTCTGAGACCCTCAAAAGAGCTCATTAAGGGAATGAAAAAGTGACAAAGTACTTTTTAAATATACCTGAATATATGAAGAACCTGTACAAATCAACAGCAGGAGGACAGGTATCCCTATAGAGAAAGGGGGGAAAGACCTGAGCAAGCCCAACATCAAAGAAGATCTCCAAATGACCAATAAACCAGATCACTCAGCTACACAAAACATCAGGGGAATGAAAATTAAAACCATAGTATGATACCACCACAGATCCACTGGGATGGATGAAATAAGAAAGGCAGACAGTATCAAGTGTCGGTGAGGATGTGAAGCAACTGGAAAATGCTGCCGGTAGGAGTGTGAGTACAGTCACTTAGGAAAACTGTGGGCAGCATCTACTGACATTAAACGTACACCTAACCTATGACACAGCAGTTCCACTCTTGCTCATATAACCAGCAGAAACAAGCACAAATACTCTCCCCAGAGACTATGTGAGAATGTTTACAGCCACACTATTCATAGTAGCCTAAGTTTACAAGTAACACAAATGCCCATCAGTAATACAATAGATCAATTTTTTTTAGATATTCATACAATAAAATATAATACTGCAATGAGAACTTCTGGGGTGCTGTTAAAGTTTTAATTTCTTGCCTGGCCGGTGTGGCTCAGTGGATTGAGCACTGTCCCAGGGACTGAGAGGTCTTGTTCTATTCCTGGTCAGGGCAGGTGCCTGAGTTTCTGGGCTCCACCCCCAATAGGGGGCGTGCAGGAGGCAGCCAATTGATGTACTCTCACGTGGATATTTTTAGCTCTCTCCCTTCCTTTCTCTATAAAAAATCAATAAAAATGTATTTTAATACTTTTTTCAGTTTTTTAACCTTTTAAAAATATTTTAAAATTAATTTTTAGAGAGAGAGGAAGGTAGAGGGAAAGATAGAAACATCGATGAGAGAGAAACATTGATTGACTGCCTCCTGCATGTCCCCCACTGGGGATCAAGCCTGAAACCCGGGCATATGTCCTGACTGGGAATCGAACCAGTGACAAGCTCTGCTTATGATTCGAGTCATGTTCCGTGTGTGTGCTAAATGTCGATGAAATGTACCAAAGAAGATTGATTCTTGAGTTGGCGGCTGTTGTCGGAGATGTAGTTAGTCATTTACACTTGCGGTTAATGTGAAACCCTTCGCAAGTTTGAGAACATTTGAATATTTGGAGCCTCTGCCGTCTGTTGGGGGTTTTCTTGATGGGGTGAAGCATATCAGTGGCATCAGCTCGGTCTTTCCTCCAGCTAAAAATGTACACTGTTGGCAAACAAGGGCTTCTGGGTGTGGTTTTGGGTGGCGCTGTTCTCGGGGTCCTTGGGGGTGTGGGGTAGCCACAGAGGCACTCAGGGCCAGCTGGGAAGTGCACACTTCAGCCCCGTGCCCAACAGGAAGGAAAGAGAAACACGTCAGTTGTTCTAACACAAAGAAATATTGGCTTCCTCCTCTTCAGAACAGACTGCCCTGGTCTCCGCTCTTGAAGCTGGCTCTAAGGTAAGGTGAGCATCCAGATACAGCCATTTGGGCAGCTTGTTTTGGGGGTGGGGTGGGTACAGTTACAGTTATGGTAACTTTTTTTAGATTGATGACACTAAAAAAAAAAACACTGGTAAATTAGACAAAGGATGATGTCTTTTTACTGAATAGCATACATTTAAAATTCAGGGTAATAATGATTTAAATGGAATGGAGTGGAGGAAGTACTTCAGAGTTAGTTAAAACCAACCAACCGAACCAAACCAAATAACACGATCCAAAAGCTAGATGGTATGAGTTGTTGTAAGGTGGTATATAATGTTCCACTTCTTCTTTGGTTTGTGAATTCTTGCATGTAGTTTATAACTATTTCACTCTGAATCTGCTGCATACATTCAGATTGTTTTGATCACTCAATCTTTGGTTTGGAGGAGGAACAGAAATAAAATTTTAAAATGAAATTAGCTGGGGTCTAATAGAAATTTCTTTTAATTAAGCTTCCTTACCACCCAAATAAGTTTTTTGGCAGGAGGAGAGATTAAGAGAGGAAAATGCACACCAGGTGTTAAGGACCTATTATGTTTGAATTGGCGTAGAAGAGATAATTCAGCCAAGGTAGTGGGAGAGTCTAGCCTCCTAACTTCTCTGCCTGAACAAAGCATTCAGCTTTGGAGTTAAACAGACCCAGATTAAAACGTGACTTCAGGTAAATTACTTAATCCCTCCACGCCGCGCCCTTCTCAGCTGTACAATGGGCACACTCACTCCATGATGCTGTGGGTTGAAATGAGGATTGAGGTCATGTAAACAGAGTACTTGTCACCTGCGACTTATGGACTTCATGTTAGTGTTTGCTTTATCCTCACCCGAGGACATTTTTCTATTTTTTGTTCAGGTAGAGTGGGAAGGTAGAGTGGGAGGGGGAGAGAGAGAGAGATATCGACATGAAAGGGACACACTGAGTGGCTGCCACCCGCATGACCAACTGGGGCCGGGGACAAACTGCAACCGAGGTACGCGCCCTTAACGGGAACTGAACCCGGGTCTCTCTGGGCCGCAGGCCTACACTCTAACCGCTGAGCCAAACCGGCCAGGGCTAGTGTTTTACTCTGATTCTACAATAGCATTGGGGGGGTGGGGGTGGGGTTGGTGACAAGATATCTACCTGACTGGGGAGAAATAATAGAACCAACAGTGAATTGCAGTGAGCTTTCAGGATGAAATGTGTGTTCGTTTTCTCCTATCTTGGGTAGGTGTCGAGTTTTCTAGATTTAAGCCCACGTACTTCATATATAACAGATGGAGTTTTGAGGGACCTGAAGCTTATACAGCATGTGGAGAATTCTTTACGAAAACAAACACAGCCCTGGCTGGTTTGGCTCAGCAGTTAGAGCGTCGGCCTGTAGACCAGAGAGTCCTGGGTTCGGTTCCCACTAAGGGCACGTACCTCGGTTGCAGTTTGTCCCCGGCCCCAGTTGGGGTCGTGTGGGTGGCAACCAGTCAATGTGTCTCCCTCACATTGATGTTTCTCTCTCTTCCTTCCTCTCTTCTTCCTGCTCTATTTGAAGATAAATGTAAAAATATCCTCGGGTGAAAATTAAAAAAAAAGAAAGAAAGAAAACAAACAACACAGAACTAGGTACCAAGCCTTGTATGGGGCGAGTGAGGGATGCCAAGGCTTGAGCTTACTGGCTGTCAGAACACCCACCTCTGATCATGGAACAGTGCACACGTCCATTTCGGGGTCGGACTTTGTGACGGACGCACGTGCGTGTGGTCTCTCCTTTGCACACGTGAATCTGCACGCCCGCGAGTCTGAGCCCAGTGGGTCGGAGCCACAGGCTCAGAGAGCTCTTCGTTCATCTCCTTCCTTCGGTGGACGTGTGTCCTTTGTGGCTGCGTGTCCTTTGTGGCTGCCACAGCCTTCCGTGAAGAATGTACACGTGCAAAAAAAGGACGGCATTTTCCGTGGCCCCTCGAGGTCACTTCAGCCGCTGAGCTGTCCCCTGCGCCAGGCTGCACCCTGAGCTGTGCCGCTGCTCAAGGAAATGGCTGTGGTAAAGCCCCCGCGGCGGGGGCGGCCCAGAGTGACCTGTGCTGTGAGCCTGCGGCTTTCTGAGAACGAGCTGCCGTCTCCCTGACGCCCCGGTGGTGACGAGGGTCATGTTCACACACGTCCACCGCAGCAACGGGCCACATTTCCACCCACCACCGTGTCGTTTCCCTCCATCTCGGGGCAGGGGGGCTTTCTAGCCTTTGAGCTCACAGCCAGCTGCTCGGAGGGGATGGGGGTTGGGGGAGAGGAAGGGGGACCAGCCTGCAGAGAGCATGTTCTCTCCCCCACCCTTCCTCCACCCCCAATCTCAATTTCTTGTACTTCCTCCCTTGGCAGGTTTAAAAGCCGAAGGCAAGCGCTGCTCTTAGGCTGGGGAGAGAAAGCAGGCAGGCTATTTCAAACTTCAGTGCAGGATTGGCTGCTTGGTTCCCCTGGAGGAGTGGTCCCACAGGTCCCTCGGGGTGCCCTCCCTGCCCAGGCATCTCCCTCTCCTGGGGGAGAAGCCCCTTCTTCGGGGCAGTGCCCTCTGCGGCCGCAGGCTTCATACTCGCTCTCCGTGGTGTACCGTCTTCGGGCCGGCGTGTGAGCTTCCTGACCGCAGAGACCGGGTCTTACTTGTCCTGGATCCTCAACACCTGCCATGTGCGTGGCAGAGAGCAGGCCAGTGGGAGGGGCCGCTCGCGCCCAGGCACTGACACCCAACCACACTGTGCTGTCCGGGAGCCCACGTCCCACGGGGCCAGCACGGCTGCAGACAGACAGTGGACGTGCATGGACTGAAGTGCCTGCTGGGTCTAGGGAGGCGCCCCCAGCTCCCACCCTCACCCTGCTGCCTGCATCCCTGTCAGTCCCAGACGTGGCCTGGCTTCCTGCTCTGGGGGCCTCCTGAAGGCTAAGACAGCCGAGAAGACGTCCAAGTCCTGCTTTGTTCTAGCTGTGGCTCCGGGGCTGCACCCAGAGGATTCTGGGGTTGGTGTTTGAGCCCAGACTGACACCCAAACGCCGCCGAGATGGGACGGTTTGGTGTAGAGTGTGCGGCTGCGGAGACTTTTCCTTCAGAGTGGTGCTGGTTTTATTTATTGTTTCATTGTTAGATAAAGTTAGACTAATAGGTGGGATGCCGTAAAGGCAGCCACCATTACAAAATCACAAAAATGCGACAGAAGGAGGAGGTAGGGGCTGGACTCAGCCCCAGGTCGGGGAGCACAGGGCCTGACTCCAGTGCTTGGGACAAAAGAAACGCGCGTCACAGCTGTTGCGTGAGAGTCACAGAAACACGGATCTGGGAGATTGGATGATTCCAGCCCCGAGGCTGCATTTCTGCATGAGATCATGAAAATACTCTTTAGCATGCTTCTAAAATCCCGAAATGGCCCCAGGTCCTGCGCTTTTCCGAGGTCTGGAGACTGAAGCTCCGTACAGGGTGCTCTCTGGCCTGTCCTGACTTCCTCCTCTGCTCGAACTCGGCCCCACTTCCAGCCAAGCTGCGCGTCGCGAACCTCCTGGGTGACGAGGGGTCACTAAACCCTAGTGTCACCACTCGAATACAGGACAGAGTGAAGTCAGGGGCACCACAGAGACATACACAAAGTCGAAAGGGGTTATAGTAAAGGAGCAGTTAATTTTGATTGTAAATGAGGAGAAAGTTCCTGAATTAGATACTAATCTGGGCCGTGAAAGACAACGATAATAATGATGATACTATGACTATACTAATAATTACAGCAAACATTTATTGACTGCTTATATTTTAAATTGGGGTATAATTGGCATACAACATAATGTTAGTTTCCGGTGCACAGCATAATGATTCAATATTTGTATATATTGTGAACTGGTCACGACAAGAAGTCCAACAACCAGCGCCATTCATAGTTACAGAATTTTTTTTTTCTTGTGGTGAGAACTCTTAACATCTGCTCTCTTAGCAACTTTCAAATATACAATACAGTATTTTTAACTACAGTTGCCATGCTGTACATCCCTATTATTTATTTATCCTCACTCGAGGACATTTTTCCATTTTTTTTTTTTTGTTCAGATAGAGTGGGAGGGAGAGAGAGAGAGAGAAACATCGACATGAAAGGGACACATCGAGTGGCTGCCATTCCCACGACCCAACCAGGGCCAGGGACAAACTGCAACCGAGGTACGTGCCCTTAGCGGGAACCGAACCCAGGCCTCTCTGGACCGCAGGCCGATGCTCTACCCGCTGAGTCAAACTGGCCAGGGCCCTATTACTTATTTATGTTGTAACTGAAAATGTATACCTTTTGATCCCCTTCACTCATTTCACCCATCCCCCACCCTCTGACAACCACCGGTCTGTTCTCTGTATTATCAACTGCTATTACATGCTCGCCAATGTGGTCTAAGTTTTTTTGTGCATCAACACATTTCATCCTCACAGCAGCTCTAAGAAGTAGGTGCTGTAATTCTCCCTACTCTATAGATAAGGAAATTATCCCAAAGGCCGAAGTAACTGGCTCAGCACCTCAATGGTGGAATTGCCACCCAAACAGTTGGGCTCCAAACCGTGTTCTCCGACCGCTCCTCTCTGCCCCGGGGCAAAGGGATTTGGGCAGGAGGAGGAGCAAATGCGAGGAAAACCAAGCTGGTGATTTTTTTTTCTTTATTAATTTTTAGAGAGAGAGGAAGGGAGAGGGAGAGAGATAGAAACATCGATGAGAGAGAACATCAATTGGCTGCCTCCTGCATGCCCCCCACTGGGGATCAGGCCCACAACCTGGGCGTGTGTCCTGACGGGGAATCAAACCGGTGACCTCTTGGTGCAGGGTCGACGCTCAACCGCTGAGCCACGCCGGCCAGGCCAGCGAATAGTCTTGAATGAGTTCAGGTTGAGAACATTGCCACTTTGTGGGAACCGAGGATGGAGAAGTCGGAAGAGACAGCTCAGGGAGGGCCAGGAGGGCCATGCTTGCACCTCAGGAGTTGTTTCTAG